ATATAAAAAAAAGTGGGTCACACTGCTGTAGACAATCTTCATTGTGGAGATGGCACAGCATTTAAAACAAAATAGTTAGTATTTATATAGAAGTAAGTATTGTTCTTATGCTCTACTTGTACAATTTGTGATTTGTTAAATTTTTTAGATTAAAAAAAAAAAAAAATTCTTTGTTTGAGTCTCAAGGTGAAATTCATGATAACTTTTATTTAGGAGTGATATTCGTTTGAGCAGAAGCCATGCAAGGGAGATTACTAACTGAAGTTACTGGACAAGACATTTTGTAAGCACACCCATATGATTTAAATTCAGATGTACTTGTGACAGTAATTCCCTAACAATGTATGAAATTAACACATTCTGTTCTGTTTCTGCTTTTATTGTCTGCCCCTTTCAGCCTGTCGGCAGACACATAGACTTTCTTGAACATAGCGCCAAATGGCTTTCTTTTTCAGCATTTCTTGCTGCTTAATTTCTGCCCTTATAGCGCTAAATGGCTTTCTCTTTCAGCATTTCTTGCTGCTTAATTTCTGACCTTTGATCATATTCACCTGTCACTAATTTCTCTTCTTTGTGTAATTTTGTTAAAAATCCTCTCCCATTATTTCTTTGGCACTGTGAGTTCTAGTGCAATGACATTCTGGTTAGATTATCAGGTTGTATCCTTACAGTCTTTAGTTGAGGTTCCAGCTTCACTGCAGGTGATCACACCAGATTGACTTCGCTGTTCACATTTGAAAAGTAGTGAAAAACCTGCCAGTCCAGCAGAATCTTGAAGCTTGTGCCTGCTAATTAATAATACATTGGGCAGCTGTCAGACGTGCCAACAGCACACTGTTGGTGCAAATGGTTAGCCATAAGCGCCAACATTGTGCCCACCACAGGGCAGGTTATCCTGAACGTAATCGGTTACCCCATTGCAGTCAATAACACACCCCATGTGCAATAGAATAAACATAGATGTCACATCCTAGCTGTAAACCATATTTCTTGCTGACCTCTGGATAGTTGCTGAAATGCCCAGCTGAGATAAGGTCCACCGGACATGTTACAAACACAAATTACTTGATAGTTGTTGCAGGTTGTAAATGTTATTGTTGTTGAAGTGTAGATGAAAGCAGTGGTTCTCAATCTTCCTAACGGGGTGAACCTTTAATACAGTTCCTCATGTTGTGGCGACCCCCAACCTTACAATTATTTGCATTGCTACCTTATAACTTCAGTTAAATATGTGTTTTCCAATAGTCTTTGGCGACCCCTGTGAGTGTCATTCGATCCACAAAAGGGTGGAAACCCTGAGGTTTGACAACCTCTGGACTAGAGCTTGCCTAGTGTGGGTCATTTCATAAAAGCTCTGGAAAAGTGGACTATTTTATCAGCAGTAATATATAAAGATGTGTGCAAGCAGGGCATGAATGATGTATATATTGAGGTAGATTCAGGGGAACAAAATGCCACAGAGAGTGAAAATCAGGAAGTAAATTTGAATAAAGGAAACAATAATGGCAGAAAGGTTTTGAGAACTGAGGAAGCACACAGTAGAATCCTATGCTCTGATTAAGGTTATTAGGTGAGTTGTATATTCTTTACAGGACGTTGCAGAACCAACCCCATCAGCCCCTGGCTGTTGTGTGGTTTCACTAGGCAAATTTACATCCAGTAGTTTGCCATTGCTTTCTGGACGGTCGGCTCCCTGATACCACTGTCGATACCACTGTCGAAACCAACGCAAGACGTATGGCCCGCAGCTGGGATTGAACCCGGTACCTCGGCATTACCAAGCGTTCGCGTCGACTTAGCCACAGAGCCAACATGCTCTGATTGTGGAGGACTTTTTTCTCAACATGGGCAGGTTCACTAGTCACACTCATCATCGCCATGGGCTATGATTCCCATACACAAACACCCCCCCCCCCCCCCCCCCCCCCCCCTAAACACAATAGAACAGTATACTCCCAGTATCCTATCCCGAAAGAAAGAAGGGTGCCCACAACAGTCTGAAATTCTGTGACACATATGAAGCTATCATCATCATCTCAATCCTGTTGTGCCATTTTGCAGCACATAGGACTTGCAGTCTAATCCTCCAATCCATTATTTTCTGTGCATTCCTTTTGATATCAGGCAGGCAATCTAGTCTAGTTCCCTTGGCCTCTCTCAGCAGTGTTTATCTCAGCAGGTTCTTATCTCGACAGTACATTTGTTTCATATTTCAGTGCTTGTTTGGTGATTTTCTGTCCATTTCTCTTCATGATGTGCCCAGTATATTGCCATCTTCTGTGTCATATAATAATAAGTGGTTATCCAGACATTCCTCCTAATTCTTCACCTGCCTTGAATTTATCCTGTTCAATGTTAATCACTTTCCTCAGGCATTTGTGTGGGTTCGGTGGCCCTTATTGTGGTGGAAAAGGGGGGGGGGGAGGTAATAAACTCACTGCGAGGCTCCCGATCCACCCCACAGACAGGTCATAAAAGTCAGCTAATTAGGACAGTTTCTTTGACGTTGGGCTGCACTGCATGAGCGGTTAGGAGTCAGCAGTCTGCTTACAAATAAGCCACATCTGTAAAAATGTGTGTGTGTGTGCAAAACTTGGTGACTAAAGTCCTAAAGTGGACGAAGAGCCAGAAGTTTGCAGCTGGTGAACAGGAAGAGGAAGAAGATGCCATATCTTTAGTGTTTTTCAGCTTTTATTCCATGTATTTAGTTTAGTAGTTCACCAACTAGATCAAAGCTATGCATGTGCATAAATATGTTTTGTCTTTCCCCAGCTTATGCGCATAATCATATTGGTGTTGGTGCTTTAGTTCATTCAAAGAACAGTTCATCAGCAAGGTATCAGTCTGGCCTCATGTTGCTGAAATGCCTTTAACTAAAAGCAATAGGAAAAGCTCAGAAGGTAAGAGTATAAAGGGTGCTATGTTTTCTAGTTATGGTACAGTTTAGAAAGCAGTGGTAAACTACTGAATGTAGATTTTGTCTAGAAAAACCACAACAGCCAACAAGAAGTGGGGTTGGTTCTGCAGTGTCCTGTAAAGGATACACAACTAACTTTGAATAGTTAATAAAAAAATTTTTTTTTTTTTTTTTTAAACAGATGCCAACTAACATTAAATGACTGGTAAATATCATTGTTTAACTTTTAGTCTACCGCAGCGGTTCTCAGCCTGTGGGTCATGACCCTTTATGGCCATTCCATAGGGGTCGCCAAAGACCATCGGAAAACACATATTCGCTGAAGTTAAGAATTAGCAACAAAAATAATTTTATGCTTGGGGGTCACATTAGGAACTGTATTAAAGGGTCCCGGCATTAGGAAGGTTGGGAACTACTGGTCTGTCACTTATTGTAATCAGCAGTAGGTAAAGAAGTAATTTTTGGTTGCTGTTCTTTATTTTCTTCATCTTTCGTTTGCTTGAAGTAGAGGGTCTGTATTTGCAGTGGTGTCTCTAGTATGAACTTCTCTTTATTTCTTTGTAATGTTTCACTGGATGATTTAGGGGTCTTCTGCACTTTATACCCCAAGAGAGCATTGTCCAATCATTATCTTTTCAATGACAGATCACCATTCACACTCAAAAGACATCATCATCTACATGTAAGCCAGATCTGTTAAAAAAACCGATGTGCGCACAAAACACAAGTTCTGAAACAAGGTTAACCCTTTTAGCACAGGAAGTTTTTCAGAGGTCTAGCCAAAAACACGGAGTATTTTTTCAGTGAATTTGGTTATTACTTTATTAAAAATTTTTTGGACAGATTTCTGTTATTCTGACCCCAATTAAATAATGTATCTATTTGAAGGATATAGATTGAAGTTCACGATTTTCACAATATCGTTAAAATTAATTGATGTATATGCAAATTATCTCATTTGCATATCTAAAAATAGAAAATTTGAATTTTCAACTTCAATGCTTAAAACATAAAACTAAAAACAAAAAATTCTTTAATTTGAAATATTTTTATTGATATTTAACCTTTTTGCAAATGTAAGCAATTCAATAGTCAAAAACAGATATATATATATATATATATATATATTATATATATATATATATATCTATATATATATATATATATATATATATATGAAACAGCAATAATATCTTTAGGTGACATGTGTTTTTCACCATCAGTCAGCACAAGAAATGGATGGGCCGGAGTGTCAACACCTTCGGGTGCATATACCCTGAGCCATGGTTGGGCTGTGGTCTGAACACAACAGCGTCCCCATCTGATTTCCCACTATTACTACTAACACTAAATCCTGCATCAGTATCAACAGAATTAGTGTAATCACTCGATTCAAATGTTTTATCAACATCAAGTTTAGAGGCAGAAACATGCGAGTCAGACATACTTTTAGCGGTTCAGGTCACTATCTAAAAAATTCAACAACAATTTTCACTTTGATACCAAACACTCGAAAGTCGCCATGTGTAAAGCTAATACAGCAGTGAATATGAATGAATCACTTTCAGTGTTTCAAAATAGGAGATTTATTAGCGGTTCGAGGCAAAACACGATCGGGCCGATGATCGGCCGTTCCGTGTTTTTGACCAGACATCCGCCGGCCAATAATCGGCCCGTCCGTGCTAAGAGGGTTAAAGTCAAGTAGCGGACAGACAACAAAACCTTTCTGCCGAAGTGTACAGCCGGTGAATGCTAAGAAAAAGGAGAATATCACCATTCCATTTCTTCTTGTTCGCCCCAGTGCTCTTGTGTCTGATTATCTTTGAAGTATTGCTAACTTATGTTGCTGCATTCTAGTGAGAGGCTGAAATCATTTGCTCTTCTTTATATGTGTCAGTGAATATGGCACTAGCTGCTGTTCCAGCAATCTCTCTGACAGAACAGTTTCTCATTCGGTCTTGGATGGTTGAATTGTTGAAAATTTTCCTTAGCTCTCTAATACAAATGTATTCTTTAATTTTAGCTTTAGTGGCCAGGTTGTGTCCAAATGACTAACATTTGAACTTGTACAACTTTTTCAGAGCCTTGTCCCTCTAAGGGGGATAAGTGCAGCAGTGATGAAGAAGATGAACCTGCTCCAAGAAAGGGCAAAGCTTACCAACGTATGTATCTAATCTTGCATAGTAGGTTTCTTTTTCCCCCTCTCATATTGGGAAAGGGATACAAGGGCATAGTTATCCATGAAACTTCTTTGGCTCTGGATCAGTTCGGTGTCACTAAAAAGTGGGTGCCGAACAATTTTTTTCTGGAAGTTGTGTGGGGAAGGAAAGGGGATGAGAACTGTCACTTTACATGGATATTTATCTACATTTTGTTGTTGAAATATTTAAAGACGTATGGAGTACCAGTAAATGTGAACAGGGTAAAGCATAAATAGGAATCATTCCACAGGGCCTAAAAACATATGTATAGTGTGACTCATGCCAGTGACCCATTGAACTCTATTGCTGAGACTTATGGGAATATTTGGTCATCGTTGCTTTTTAAAAGTGATTTTGCTTAAAGAAACAGCCCCAAATGCTATTTTTAGTTGAAGTACTTATATCCTGACCTAAATGTTTGCACAAGCTCTTATATAAAAGCCAACATCACTAAATTATGACCTGGAGAGAATTAGGCACCCAGGTGTAACCAGAGGGTCTGGCCAACTCACTACACTCAGAGGAAAGGCAAGACGGACATGTAACCAGATTGTGACCGGTACCATCAGTATTGGAACTCTGCTCTGACTGCTGTGATGAGGAAATGCCCCGAGTGCTGTGATGTCAATTCTTGACTCAACTTAACACAACCTAACATCATTAATTGTGCATTTTGAAAACAGGTCACAATAGACAAGTGAGAAAAGTGACATTTATTGAGAATTGGATCCAGCTGCAACTGTTGGTTTTGCCGCTTCTCTGGACAAAAGGAAACTACTTGATGAAATGGAAATAGATGTCTACTCATCCAATGTGTTACAGGGGCATCCGTGTATGACCATCATTTATCAGCTAGTGAGAATCTTAACCCATAGATCTGTCCAAAGCACTGTTATTTATTCTGATAACAATAACAGTCTTTAAAACTGTTTGTTTTGTGTCCAGATTCGAAGAGCAAGCAGGGTAAAATGAGTAAGAAGAGTCCCAGTGTCATCAACAAGCAAAGCGCTGCACACTCCAGCCATAACAAGACAGCAGAGGTAAACTATAAGTTGCTTTCTAACTTTATTCTTTGTTCGTTTGCTTGACATAAATTATCTATATCTGCAATGCTGTCTGTAGTATGAACTTCACTGTCTTTTGTGATTCACTTAGCAGCCTGTAAAGTTTGGCTTCCATAAAAGTGTCTCTCTTGGCCAGAAGTTTTGCCTGGAAATGTTGTATTTGGGACAGTCTTGCAGGATGTGATCTGTTGTCTCAGGTGCCAGTCCGCATGTGTACATGGCTGATTCACCAATCTTAAATTTTGTGTACATGTGGCTGCGAAGTCAATTGTGCCCTGTTCTAAGGCTAAGAATACTGACTTGCTCTGGTCTGTCAATATGTTAATCGTCTTGTGTCAGTTTTTACTAGGCAGTTATAGGCTCAGTAGTTTACCATTGCTTCTGACTGGTCGGCTCTTGATACCCTGTCAAAATCCGTGCAGTTGTCTGCTGGCAAATCACTGCAGCTCAGAATTATAAAGCATTCGCAGATTAAGCCACAGATGCCGAGGGATAAGTAAATGAAACTCAACAACAGTGAAAATGTACTTTTCAAAATCACATGTTGTGAATCACAGGATTGATGAAACAGTGGAATGTTATTCACTTTTTGTTGCTGTTTTTCTTCCTTTCTTTTTTGGTGTACGCCTGGGTTCACGGCATCTCACCTGAGATAGGGTTAGGAAGCAAGCCAGATGATTCATTCAACTGATTCTGTAAACTTTACTGAAATTGTTATTGTAAATATTCATTGGTAAATGGTTATTTCAATTGTCTTTCTTTCACTGCAGCTGTTTCGTAAAGACCTCATTAGTGCCATGAAGATGGCAGACACAGAGATCTTGCACGACAGTGATTACCTGGTGATTTCTGACCCCTGGAGGCAGGAGTGGGAGAAGGGAGTCCAAGTTCCCGTCGACGAGGGGGAAATTCTGCCGCTCGAAATTAGGTTAGTTTTTATGTGCGTGTGCTGATTGTGACCTATGTGAATTCAGGGACCTAATTTTTTTCGGGGAAAAGAAAAAAACCCATGGTCTGCCTAACAAAGGTGTCATAAAAGGCGACTAATTGGGGATGTTTCCTTTGAAGTCAGAGTATCTGCCTGAAAGGTGAGCACCTAGCAGTCTCCATAAAAATAAGCCAGATCTGTAAAATTAATGTGCATGCAAAACTGAAGTTTCTGGAACAAGACCAAAGTCCAGAAGGGGATGAACAGCCAGCCCTTTCTGCCTGTTTACTTTTAAAAAAAAAGGAAGAGAAGCCAGACACCTTGAGACTTTTTTTGACAGCCTTTTGTCATGACCTCAACACACGAACTGATATATATATTGTTGAAATTACAGATTGTGAAAAGGCACTTGATGATGATGATTTTGCTGTTTGATTTCTGAGAGGTATAAGACTCATACCATTGTAAAAATTAACCCAAAGCAGTCTGCTGCCAAACCACCTGCAGCTAAATCTGACCGGCTATGTCAGAATGATAATGTTGAATTGAGAATCGGCATCACAGCACTCGGGACACTCTCATAAGTGCTCAGTCCCCATCTTCAGCAAGCGAAGAGTTTCAATTCCGATGGTACCAATACCCGTCTTATATATCCGTCTCATCCTTCCACCGAGTGCTGAGCGTCGGCCAGATCCCCTGGTAACTCCTCGCAGTGCCATTCTTCTTAGACCGTAATGATCTGTCTGTGCCTCCGCACTGTTTACTCGCTTCCAAAGGGCCCTCACAATATCTAACTTGTCATACATCAGTTTACCACTAAATGGTGCAGAGCCAGCCAGTCTACCTGCTGCTCATTTCCCAACACACCGGCATAACTTGGAGAAAATATCCAAAGGATGCTAACTACCCAATGTCAGAATGATAAAACTGTCTTCCTCATCCCTAAACCACAGAGGCTGACAAAACAGGTACCAGAAAATGTTCAGCATTTTCTTAAAACTTGTCCCAACGCATTCATATCCCAACAGTATGGTATTGTCAGAAATTCTTGTTTTTTTTTTTTTTTTTGCTGCTGTTACATTTCGCCGCCAGAAGCTCTTATTTTCTTATCCTTCAACTCGTTTGTTTGGGCCCAGAGGTCAGTTTAAAAAAAAAATCAGACTGTGCATTCAAACCCTTCAGCCCAACAGATGAGCGTGTAGCGACCGTTGCAATTTTACCTTCTTCAGAACAGAAAATATATCTCCTATGTTTGTATTTCCTCAGGGAAATAAAACTTTCAGTGCAGATTATAGAGATGTGCATATACGTCTTTGCTTCGCTTCTGTACTGTACAACAGCGAGGTCCAGAAGTAGACGAATAACCAGAACTTTCAGTCTGAGCTTACAGTTAATGAATGTTAAGAAGTTTACTAGCCAGTCTTCCCTTGATGGGAATGTCAGTTACTTTTCTTCAAAGAGTGTCAGAACTTGTGTGTACATTTCGCCCCAAAGCTCTTATTTTCTTAGAACTCTGAGTCCCAGAGGGTTTAGCATTACAGGCCCAAGGGGTAGTCAAGAGAGACGTAAAATCAGTGCATCATGAGTTCATTGGGCTTATAGGCAGTAACCTATGAACGTATGATGCGTTCCTTGGGAATCAAAGAGTTAACAGTTGTAAGGTAGCCTTAGAATCTGAATGGCTGCTACAGGCTGAAGACATAGTCTAAAGCCATGAGGATGGGGAAAGCAAGGTGCTTTTTTGCTTTGCTAAGGAAAAAAGAATCGTCATGTTCGACCAGCATCCCTGAAGGGGGAGCTTTAGGTTGTAATTAGGTTCTGTGCATCATATAAAATGGTTTAGCATTGCACGCCACCAAGAGCCCTGAAAAGGACTCCTGCAGTGTTGTCCCAACCGGCAACAAAGATGGAAAGCAAGGGGAAACTACCATATTTATACCTCAAGAAACTTATCGTGGACCTAAAATCAGTCATTCTAAATCCCGAAATAAATTAACTTGTCAGAAATTGTGATGACGAAGTTCACCAGGCAGAAAAGACAAGACAATCACAGATGCAACTGAATGAATATCAGCAAATTGTCTTTAGTGAAGGTTCCATGTTGACTGTGTTCCAGTGCCTGTGGAAATCACATCAGATATCCTTCACCTCCCATTTAAAAACTACTGAAACACTTGTTATTACTCCCGGCATAATCTTGATACTTTCACATGCAAAGTAAGTTCATAAGGCAGCTGTCAGATGTGATAAAACTAACAGTCCTCCACCAGAATTGCAGCTCACTGTTGATGCAAGCAGTCAGTCATGAAAGCTTCCGTGTGCACTCATTTGTTAGTAAATAAAACTTTGTTGAAGTTAAGAGGAACATTTTGTTATCATGGAATAATTAATGTTCAAAACATATTTTTAAAATTTGGGAGTGCACATTGAAACCTGTTAATCTTCATTTAAGTTATGAGCATCTTCTCTGTGTGGGTTCTGGGGCACCATTGTGGGGAAACAAGAATAGACTCACTGCCTACCCAAAAAAAGTATGTCAAATAAGTCGAAAAATCAGGAGCTACCTTTAAAGCCAGAGGGCACCTGCAAGTAACAACCAGTTGCACAAATAAATAATCCAGTAAAACGGATGTACACGTAAAACTCAGGCCCTGGCACAAAGCCAAAGTCCAAATGACGAACATCCCAGACTTTTGGCTGGGGCTTAAAGCCGGTGAACGAAGAAATAGATCAGCATTTAGTGCATGCCCTGATTGTCCTATACTTTGTCTCTTTTATGTGGTAATGGTGGGGGAATTCGCAGTTTGCAGCTCTTGTTGAAAGTTGGGTTTTCCTCATAATCTAAAAAAACATATTTGTTACACTCTTACTCAGATATTTGTCAAGACTAAAGTCCAGAACTGGACGACCAGCCGGAACTTTCCGCCGGAGTTTACAGCTGGTGAATGCTAAGAAGAAGAAAAAGACTGAAAAGTTAAGATTTTTCTCAAAGTTTATTTCGTCTACCAGGCCCCCAAGGAAGTATTTGCATGAAAAAGCTGATGAAACCTACCAGGCATGTCAACACGAGTTGACCAACATGCAAGAAGTAGCAGATGCTATCGTTCGATATGACCTTGATGACCAGGATGTGATATGGCTGCAGCTCGTCAATGATGACAGAGAAGAAATGGGTGAGTAAAAGTGAAGATTTTTGTTTTGTTTGTTAGCAAGAATGGGTGAGTAGAGTGACACAGTGTTTTTTGGGAGCCAGAGTGGGTAAAAACATCATGTGTAATTTAGGAGCTAGAATCAGTAAGTAGATGTGGTGTCACATTGCTATTGGAGAGCAAGAATGGGTGAGCAGATGTGATAGTGTCATTTTGGAGCAAGAATGGGTGAGCAGATTGGATGTGACACACACAAAGTTTTTTGGAACCATCATACACGAGTAAGTAGAAATTATGGAGTGTATTTTGGGTGCAGGAATAATTAGAAATTGTTCATTATTAATTTCAAGATTATCTTCATTGCACATCGAGTAAACCCAAGTGGGGTGAGTACGAGAGATGCTGTGATATTTGAGAGCAAAGAGAAGTAAGTAGAAATGATAGAGTTTAATTTGGGAACAAGAATGGGTGAGTTAGAAAGGATGCACTGTTAATTTAAATTTAGTGCAAAGATGAGTGAGTAGAAGCGAGGCAGTTTTTTTTTTCCTCCCTCCTTTTTTTTTTGCGAGTAAGAATTGGTTAGTAGAAGTGAGACTATTATTATTTGGGAGTTAGAATTGGTTAGTAGAAGTGAGACTATTATTATTTGCAAGTAAGAATTGGTTAGTAGAAGTGAGACTATTATTTTTTGGGAGTAAGAATTGGTCAGTAGAAGTGAGACTATTGTTATTTGGGAGTAAGAATTGGTTAGTAGAAGTGAGACTATTATAAAAGAGCAAGAATTAGTCAGTAGAAGTGAGACTATTATGTGGGAACAATAATTAGTCAGTAGAAGAGAGACTATTATATGGGAACAAGATTTAGTCAGTAGAAGTGAGACTATTAAAAAAGAGCAAGAATTAGTCAGTAGAAGTGAGACTATTATAAAGGAGAAAGAATTAGTAGAAGTGAGACTATTATAAAAGAGAAAGAATTAGTCACTAGAAGTGAGACTATTATAAAAGAGAAAGAATTAGTCACAAGAAGTGAGACTATTATAAAAGAGCAAGAATTAGTCAGTAGAAGTGAGACTATTATATAGGAGCAAGAATTCGTCAGTAGAAGTGAGACTATTAAATAGGAGCAAGAATTAGTCAGTAGAAGTGAGACTATTAAATAGGAGCAAGAATTAGTCAGTAGAAGTGAGACTATTATATGGGAGCAAGAATTAGTCAGTAGAAGTGAGACTATTAAATAGGAGCAAGAATTAGTCAGTAGAAGTGAGACTATTAAATAGGAGCAAGAATTAGTCAGTAGAAGTGAGACTATTATATGGGAGCAAGAATTAGTTGGTAGAATTGAGACCTTTATATGGGAGCAGTCGGCTCTGTGGCTAAGTCGATGCGAACGCTTCGTAATGTTGGGGTGCCAGGTTCGATCCCAGCTGCGGGCCATGCGCCTTGCTTTGGTTTCGACAATGGTTTCAGAGAGCCAACCGTCCAGAAAGCAGTGGCAAACTACTGGACGTAAATTACCTAGAGAAACCACACAACAGCCAGGGGCTGCTGGGGTTGGTTCCTCAACATCCTGTGAAAAGAATACGCAACTAACCTTTGTATTGGAGCAAGAATTAATCAGTAGAGGTGATGCAGTGTTTTTTGTGAGCAAGAATTAATCAGTAGAGGTGAAGTAGTGTTATTGTGAGCAAGAATTAATCAGTAAAGGTGATGTGCTGTTATTTTGAAAAGAAAACATTGAAATACAGTTAAAGTGTCAGTTTAAACCTGTAAATATTTGATTAAAGAACTGCGTGTGTGCTGGGGTGCACATGGATTATTGATATTATTGTATTTTTATAGTCTTCTCTTTCTTTCTTCTCTTTGTTCCTAGGTTTACAGCTGATAAATGAGTGGAACTTGGAAAGAATGATTGAAGAACTAGAGAATCAGGTTCGTTGTTAGTTTGTCTCGCTAACTGCTCATATTTCTTCAACCCATTCGGTCTCATTAATGCTAAAATCAAAGGTCATATCTTTTTTTTTTTTAAACAGCATTACACAGGCCACTAATAAAGGTAAAAAAAATATGTTTATTAGTTTGTGTTATTTATTTGTTGTTTTATTGTTGTTATTTTTAAAATAGAAAGTATATATAAGGAATAATCAGTAAACACGAATATAGTGAAGCATTAAATGGAATACATTCCCTGGGGTGTAACCAAATGTGTATTGAGTGACTCACACCATGACCTCTTGACCTCTATCACTGGGGCTTATGGGAGAATTCTGTCTAGGACATACTGTTTTTTGTTGTTGTTGCTGACTTCACTGTCTGTATTTACCATATGCTAATGTTGGACAGTGGGGTCGTGACCCTGAGGATTGAAGGCTGCGTGGTGGTACGGTTGCCACAAGAACTGTGTAGGTTAAGATTTCTTTTGTCTGTGTGTGTTTGCCCCTGACAGAAGAAAATCTCGATCCCTTACTAGGAATCAAACCTGAGACAACTGCGTAAGAACCCAATGTTTTGTAACTGCGCAGACAGTCACTTCTAGTCTAGAACATTATTGTAACCAATGTTTGTAAAATATATTTATAACTAGTAAACAGTTTGTTGATCTAGGCAGTGCAGTTTTGTTTGATATTGTTTTGTTTCTTTCAACAGTGTTACATTAAAACGAATGCTCTGAAGAAGACGGAAGAGGGGCTTGGGATAGAGTATGATGAGGATGTCGCATGTGATGTTTGTAGAATGGTGAGTAAACATAAGACAAGCGTAAGAAATCATTTCTGTCATAGGTGCGAAGTGTCCGATTTTCATATGTACATAGTCATACTGGGACCGGTTTTGGCTACCATGTTTCTACCTCACCATTCCTACTTTTCAGGAGTTTTTCTGAAAAATTATGTAAGCTGTCCCATACTCGATTTATATGTGTTTAGTTTCTTCTTCACATTCAGCAGTTGTAAACTTTGGTGGAAAGTTCTGATTTGTCATCTACTTATGAACTTGTTTAGGAACCTGAGTTTTGCATGGACATCCATTTTACAGATTTGGCTTCTTTGCATGCAGACTGTTGGTTCCTAGCCTCTCAAGCGAATGCACTCAGACTTAAAAGGAAACATTCTTAAGTTAGTTAACAGATACAGGATGCTTGTGGAAGGGGGGGGGGGGGGAGAGTTATCTGTTTTATTGCCCCCACAGTGAAACTCTGAAACCCACTCGGAGGAAGTCTCAGTTTAACTCTGAGCTTGTTGCCTAAAAAAGTACCACTACTATTCTGTTCTTCCTGCCATTTCCAAATGGAGCATAGGACCTGAGCCAACTCAAGCCAAGCTCTTTATAGATAATCAGGCTTTCCACTTCTGTGTGGGCTACATCTTTGCTGGTATTTTGGGGATTTAGTGTGGTGATCATTATGTCACTGGTAAGTGAATAATCTAACACCAGAGATGGTCAAATATATGGGGGTCGCAGGTGAGCGACTTCTGTTGAAGGTTCTCCAGGCAGCCTGCTGTAGTAGCATCTTGACAAAACTGACATGGTGGAGAACATCGTGACAGCTGGAAAGATCAGTGGAAAAGGGGCTTTAGGTTATAATTGTGACTAGGTTATTTGCGCCATATAAAATCGGTTACCATTGCACACCACCAAGAGCCCTGAAAAGAACTCCTGCAGTGTTGATGTGATCATAGGGGACAGGCCCATTCACTATCTCGACAGGTGACGAAGTCGCCTACCAGCGAGCCAATGGATGAACCAGTTGCCGTTGTCAGAAGACAGAAGAGCCAGAACCTTGTATCTACCTCGACAATTGATGGTAAAAGGGCAGAGAATTAGTTTGCAACAATTCACATCCTTGTCGCATTTACTGTGCCTCATCTTCACTAGCTAGGGAAGTGTTTCCATGCTGATAGGGCCGTTGACAACCTACCTGAATGAAAGTTTACTTATCTGTGAAAAATGCTCTAATGCAGTGTTTCCCAAACTTTTCTTGGTCGCTGCACCATTTTTTCGATTAAAACTTTTCCACGGTGCCCTAACCTAAGTAAAAGTATGACAATTCATGTCTTGGTTAAATTAATTATGAAACTTTTACAATATTTCGCAGCGCCCCTGTGAAGAGGTCGCGGCTCCCCGGGGCGCCTCTTTGCACAGTTTGGGAATCACTGTTCTATTGTGTATTGATTTATGACAAAGTTTCTTATGTTAATTATTTTGTTTCATTTTCCAGTTGGAGAGCGAAGATACAAATGAGATGGTGTTTTGTGATGGCTGTGATATCTGTGTTCACCAGGTAAGTAATAGGTTTCTTGAGTATGTGGTCATGTCAGTCTTTGAACTTAGAAATAATAGTTTGTTTTAACCCTTTTACCTCAGAATGCTATAAATGGATTGTGAATCCATGGGAATTCCCGAAAACAATCCTTAAAATACAAACCATTCTACACAGGTCAATAATACATTAAAAATATTTTTTCTAAACTACATAACAATTTGTTGTTGAACTATATAAAGGGGGTGCCACATCCCTGGCTTCAGCGTTGCCAGTCCGACTCGTAATTCCAACATACTGCGATCGAAACCCACCTCCTGCTGCATGGATTTTTATCATGGTACGGGGTGTCGCAGGTCGGCCTAGCCTAAAATGGGTACCAGGATGTATGTCCTGGGGAAGTAGAGCTAGCCGGGGAAATGCTGACCACATTACCCACCTAGTGCCAATTAGTCTGTACATTTATGGGTGCTCTTCCCATATGCCAGATGTGCCCAGAGGCGTGAAATGGGATCTTTACTTATATAAAGGGGGTAATAAATAAACTCGAGATGAAACATTAAATGGAATACAGTCCCTGCAAATATATATATATATATATATATATATGTGTATCAGGTGACATGCTGTGGACAACAGGTTATAGAAGCCAGCTGCAGGCCTCAGAAATGAGATACCTGAGAAAGGTGGTCCAAGTGACAAGAAGGGACAAAGTTCGATCAAACAATACATCAAGATCTTGATACCCATCCTTACAAACCCGAGTGAATCAGTCACTATTACGATTGTTTGGAGATGTATGCAGAATGGGAGAAAATCGGCCACAGTGGCAGGCATGGGAGGCTGAACCAGGGAACCAGACCTCCAGAGTCTGCTGGGAAAACAACATCCGACAGTCCCTGACAGAGGACTAGAATGGAACAAAGCCGGAAAGAAAACTACTGATAAAGACGTCTGGTGATCTCTCTGGCAAACCTCTACACCCCAAGGTAGACGAGGAGCGACTAAGTAAGTAAGTAAGACATGCGGTGACCTCTATCATTAAGGGCACGGAAAAGCTTTATATCACAGTAGCTTTAAAGAAACTATTTGGTTGACCCAAAAAAAACCACCCCTAAGTGCTATTTTTTTTAGTAATATTTAAATGGCCGGACCTCGTAAATGCAATGCAAGTGCAAATACAACTAATGGCATTTAACTACGTTTTTCGAGAACAGGCCACTGCAGAATTGCAGAAACGTCAGCAGTTACGGGGCTGTCACAACCAGAAGTGACAAGATTTGGGCTTCTCAGAGTGACAGACCTCGTATCATGTTTTCGTATACTGTTTTAGAAGAGTGTGATTGCTTCTTTTATCTCCTGAGAGCTGTGTTGGGTTTTCTGTTCACTGTGTGTCCTGACCGATGGGGTAGATGTTCATTTTTCTCCACAGATTTGGGACCTGGGCATTCTAAATCAATGCTGTTGATGGTACTTCATCTTTCCGCTATTTTATACCATCCGGAATCATTTCTCTTGATCTGTCTGTTCATTGCTAAATATTCCAGTCATCTGGTGTTCTCTGGTGCCTTTCTTCTCATCACATGACCATAGGGCCGGGATATACAGCTAAATTACTGTGTCCAAAATGTTAACAATGGGGGAATGTCATGATCCAGAGGTCAGAGCCCCAGCATAGAAAGATTTGTAAAAAATAACTTTATTTCACTGTTTTTGGCAGTGGTCAGCGGGCCACTTGCTACATCTCTGCTGGTCGGATTCACCTCACGGGCCACCAGTTGAATAGCCAGGCCAGAAAGCATTGTTAAGAGGGGTTTGTAGCTTATAGCCAGATCTCACTAACAAAATAGCTAGGACTAAGCAAGAAGAGGCCAACCTGCTGAAGTGTAGAGAAGACGGACTGAAAAGAAATGCCTGTAAGAAATGAATGCACAGTCATTCATGTATGTCCCCGGCCTCATTATGGGGAAAACGATAATAGATCCTCCCCCCCCCCCCCCCCCCAACATGAGTCGACTAATTAGGGTTCCTGAGAAGTCAGGGTGCATCTGCCTGAGAGGCCAATGTTTGCAGCCGGCCAATGCAAAGAAGGAATAAGGAGAAGAATGCACAGTTGGTATGGTGAAATGTTGTTAAATAATGATGGATTTAAATGCTCAACAGTGATTGTTATCATTAGCTTTTGCTCCCTTGTGGATTCTGTGGCCCTATGGGGGGAGGGGGGATAAACTCACTGCCTCTCTAACAGGCATGTTGTAAAATGCAACCAATTAGGGGTATTCCTTTGAAATCGGTATGCATCTGCATGAGAGACAAGAAACCAACTGCATAGAAATAAGCCAGATCTGTGAACCTGATGTGCATGCCAAATTCAATTTCTTGAACAGCACCAAAGTTTAGAAGTAGATAAACAAACATAACTCTCCAACAATGTTTACAGTTTGTTTGTGAAGAAGAAGAGTTAGCCATTGTAAATGTCTCTTAGTATATAACAGTTAGCAATTGTGAATGTTTTAGTTTGTAGCCGTTGTGAATGTCACCTAATGTGTAGCCATTATGAATGTCACCTAATTTGTAGTCACTGTGAATGTCACCTAATGTGTAGCCATTGTGAATGTCACCTCATGTGGAGCCATTGTGAATGTCATCTCATGTGTAGTCACTGTGAATGTCATCTGATGTGTAGCCATGTTATGTGTCACCAAATTCTTGTATTAACTTAATGATTTGTGTGTTTGGCAGGCCTGCTATGGGATTCAAACTATCCCAGAAGGCAGCTGGTTGTGTAGAATCTGCGCACTCGGGATCAAGCCCATGTGCTTGTTGTGTCCAAAAAGGGGAGGAGCCATGAAGTCCACAAAGTTAGTGCTTAAAAAAAAATTATACTTTTCTTCCACACAAAAAACCCAGTTATATAACTCATAGAAATCTCCATACGTGGTCCTGGGGCCTCATTTTGTGTGTGTGTGTGGGGACATAAGAGTGATGTTTACTTTGAAGTCGGAGTGCATCTGCTGAGAGGCAAGGAACCAGCCAATCTGCATACATAAGCCAGATCAGTGCACAAAAAACTCAAGTTTGGTAGAAGAACTAAGTCCAGAAGTGGATGAACAACCGGAGCTTACCATCAGTAAACGCAAAGAAGAAGAAGAAATCGCATAGAAAAATATGAGCTTCCTCTTTGGACCCCAGAAATGCACATGCATCTGTTGTTTATATTTCTGTCTTTATCTTTCCCCGAACAACACCTGTAATTAGATTTATTGAAAAACAAAGACCGAAATAGTTTGGCCACCTGGTGAGAATGAACCCAGTGTCATCTGTTGCAAGAGTCTGCAACTTGAGAATGGAAACATCTAGAGGCAGAGGAAGGCCAAGAAGAATATGGATAGATGCAGTTAACTTGGTAAAAAAAAAACATCACCATGTAGCAAGGGTAATGAGGGCTTGTGTGGCTATGGGATGACTGTAGGTGATGATAGTGAATGACTGAGTAGCACTTAGATGACCGTTTAAAGACTGCTCGTTCAACGCCCACAACAATTTCTGACAAGCACATGACAGACGAGTGAAGACTCCAGGATTCAGGGAGGAGTGAACTGACCGCACAGTGAACGAGTGGATCTGACAAAACGGGCAGAGTGAATGGTTTTTGGGGTGTTGGCTCAGAGACCTGGACTTTTGAAGTTTTGACTGTTAGATGTTGCGTAATTGATTAAGTTAGCAACGGTTAGACTCTGATAACGCATTAGATTGACGATATTATAATTCAAGTGTTTGTAGGTAGTGTAACGCGTGTGTTATAGAGAGATAGTCCCTTGTGTTTAGTTATAGTTGTGTTCACTAAGCTGTGTGTTAGCGAGGTGGTTCACGAAAGGGGTTTATTGATAAAGAAGACGAGAATGAGTTTGTGAGCCCTGTACATAGGCAGCAGTTATGTGGTCTGTCTGATCACACGAACAGAGCTGTGCAGTAGCACAGCCGTCATAGTGTAAGGTGCAGAAGCATAGGAAAGAGTTGGCTGGCTCGGACCCGGTTAGTGCCTGGAAGCACCTGGAAGGCCAGTGTGTGAGTGGTGATTGTAAAGCACTCCGGCCAGTTGGGGTAGGGCTTGCAAGCCACCTCTCTGGCTAACTGCCGGTCACTTGTTGTAACTTATAGTAAAGGCTAATGTGAATACTCTAAAAGTGTTTGGGTTAGTTGTGTTCCAGATAGACATCGTTGTCGGGGAGCACATAACTGTCTAGGAAACCAGTCATTAGCCGTGCCTGCGACACCTAACAGCATTAAGCAGGGATAGACAATAGATAGGTAGATCAATCCTTAAGCAGGCAATGACAGTTCCAACTTCATAGCAGATGGGTCTCCCCATAGTTTGCCCTGCTCATGTGCCAGCGAAAATCACAGAATGTCCCTCACTGTCCTTTTTGATAAACATTGATGCTGACTTCATTCCCAGCAAACCCAATAGCATACACATGCATTAAATGCACAAAGCAGCCATCAGAAGTGCCAACACAAACATTCAGACACTAGAAATGCAGTTCATCACCGATGAAAGCAGCACTTATAACAGATTATTAGTTGTACATGCAATTAATCGTATCATCAGTTCTTTAGGAACAGGCCATTTGCCATTTTCTGAATATGCTCTTCACAACACAATTATTCCAAATGAAATCTGCAGCTCACAGTGTCGCATCGTGTACTCAGCTCAAAAGCTGGACTATAGGACTATATTCTTTGTCTACTTCTGGAAGAAAACACAACTGCTTACCTATCTTTTCGTAAGAGACCACTAATTCAGCACCGTTTTATTTCAACTAATCTCAGCCCCGCTACATCTTACTGTTCCATCAGAGGTAAAAAGACAAATTCTAAATCTAGTCTATATTCTGACTTTAGCTTACCTGCATCAGCTTGGACATTAACCCAAGATCATGGAGGAAAACTGACTGTCTATGAAATGAGATGTTTAACGAAATATTACAGACATATTCAGAAGAGATCTAGAAATGTAGAGGTTAAAGAATATTTTTTTTGGAACAGTACCCATCATTCAGTTCATTGAGAAGCGAAAACCTAAATTGTTTTGGCATATGATAAGAATGAATCTTAAAAGAGCATTCGACATGAAAATGGGAACACCAAGGTGCAGAGGGAGACATAGAAGAATATGGATTGATAGAGTCACTTATAATTTAAGACTTCACAGCATGTCAGGCAATTGAGTGTGTCCTGGCTTGTTGGTGACCTGTTAAACTGTGATGTCTAGTGGCACAAAGTAGATATTAGTGAAAGAAATCTCTGCTTTTATAGAATGTTTATTTAGATTTTGAGTATGTGTGTGTCTAGTACTTTTTGTTGTGGTTGATTTCATTGCACCCTAAAGTGGTTTGTAATTTCTGTCCCTCTTAGGAGTGGAACTAAGTGGACCCATGTCAGTTGTGCTCTGTGGATACCCGAGGTCAGCATTGGGTGTCCGGAGAAGATGGAGCCAATCACAAAGATATCCAACATACCAGTATGTATTCGTGAACTTTTCTGTCATAATTATGTTGAGCAAGGTTTGGCAACTATGGGGATAAATTTAGAATTTTCAATCTAGTTGTGGGCCATAAATAAAAAAATAAAATTCCTTTATAAACCAGGGTTCGTAGCCGACCTTGAGACCTTAAACAAGTTGGGAACTGCAAGATTCCTCTCAAGACCTTGAAAAAACTTGGGATTTTTCTTAAAACTGACGAAAAAACTGTAATTTTACCCACCAAACCTTGAACACACCGTAACCAGGACGTGGATAACATAAAACATAAAACCCAGATTTCCTAATAACACAATAATTTTGTTAGTCTAAGGTTGAATCCATTGCTATGTCTCTAGCCATGCACACTCATCCAATGAAGCTATTCTGTGTATCTAAATGTGTCTATTCAAGCTGGTTATTTGCAGAAATCATATTATTGAGGAAAAGTGGGGAAAGGGGGGGGGGGGGGGCCATAAAAGTATGGAATGATAGATAGCGATGAGTTAGTGAGAAATAAAGTAAGAGACTGACAAACATATGTTTTTGTAAGCTAAAGAGCCAGAGTTGGACAGTTTTCACCCGCGGGCCATGGTGTTTGAACACCTTGATATAGAGCATCAACATACAACAAATGCAGTGAGTAACAACAAAGAAATTCATAATGTGTTTGAAATTACCACTAATTACTGTTATCTTGAGGGTTAATAGACTGTGATGGGTGTGGCATATAGGGAGGATGCCAGATAGCAAGAGATTAAAAACTGTACACAAACAATTTGAAGGGGAGTAGACCATGATGCTGGTCAAGAAGACGACAAAGAGATGGTATATAGGCAGACCAACAAACACTTGGAATCACCAGCTGAAAAGCGAGGACCGATAATAGAGATAAACGGAGGTGGGTGATGTCTGCAGCAATAAATAAACCTCAAGGTTTGGAATGCTAAAGAAGAAGAAGAAAGCATCAGCATGGCTTGAACAAACAGAAACTTACCACTTCAACTTGATCATCATCAATCAACAGATCTTTTAAAGAACATAGTTCTCATTATGGCACGCCTGAAAGTCTTTCTTATTCAGATCAGTTCAGGCAATCAGTTCTTGTTATGCCTAGTGGCACATGAGGCTTCAGAGAGGACTTTCCATGCTTTTCTGTCCTGTGCAATCTTTAATGCAGTTTCCATTGTGATTGATGTCAAAGATCTAATAGCATGGCCAAGCAAATTTCCATCTTCCACACTCAGGTCACTTTCCACGTTGTTTCATCTCCATGTTTGTTTTTGGTTCGCTGCAGGAATTGTTGGATTTTTTGCTCTCTTTCCCTCTTGTAGCCATGTGAGGAGCTGTTTTGGCAGGTATATCAGGATTGGTTACATTCTCATAACATGGCAAGTTTCTTTGTATTATTCTCCGTCCCCCCATTTCCATCTTCTCTTGGTATATCATCTGTCTAGAGTCAAGGCCCTTGATGTTTGTGACTTGAAGTAGTTTAGTGCTTTTGAGATTGTATCTGGCCAGAAAAGTTTGATTAATTCTATGCGTAAGAATGTGTGGTGAAGGTGGACAGTCATAAAAACTAGTGTGTGGAACATTGTTGGTCATTCTCCAGCAATTTTTAGCTCCACTAAAGAAGAACTGGCAAAATGATGCTCTTTGTAGAGTCAGAGTTCGTTTCTCTGCAGGTAATTGTTGGATTTCCAGATGTGCCTCATCCTTCCGCCCCCAAAAGCCAGCTCTAGCTTTGTTCAAGCCTGACTGTACCTCTTCCTGTGTCCCTCCCAGTAGGGATTAGACACTGCCAAGATATGTGAAATGTTCTACATTTTCAAGTGATTGGTTACTTATGGTCACTGGCTGTTGGTTTGGACTGTTTGTCATGATCTTAGTTTTCTTTGTATTTATTCTCAGTCCCACCATTTCTGCTGTGCTGTGTAGTCTGCTACTTTTCTCTTGTATATGTTCATGTTTATGTGATAGCAGCGCTATATCATCTGCAAAATCAAGGCCCTCAAGCATGGTGAATGGAGTCCACCGTATGCCTTCAGATCAGTTATTCAGCCTTATGTGCTTTCAGAGCTAATGAATCTTCAGTGTCTTGCATCCACCTTTGAGGAGTTCTGGCCTCCGATTGTTTCCGGGGAAACTTCCTTCTTGCCACTGTGACATTTAACAGGGCCCAGATACCTCAGCTTTTGGGACATGATGCTGTTTATAAGCCAGTTCATCAAGGATATCAGAAACTTGATATGGAAACAGAAAGATAATGTCTACAGTAAACAGTATATATAAACTAGTGAATGTCTGCAGAATATGGTATTGGAGGATTTTCCATAGCTATGCAGTTAACTCTAGTTAGCTAATTAATCGACAGATTATCTTCATTGACTTCGACAAGTCCATAAACGCTCGAGACCCATCTTCAGTATATCCCTCAGCGTGTAAGTGACTGTCATTGATAAGACCAGTACTATGTTGGTTTACTGTTCGGTTATTATCAGCACAATGTTTCGCCATGATGACAGCAAAAACGTCAAATCCGCAACATACTGTTGAACATATTTCCATGACGGTTTCAGCTCAGATGCATGAAACTCCGTAGCACTGGTGAAAATCTTTGAGGAAAAAAAAGAACGTCCTTTGTTACTTTTGCATCCCATTAACTATAAACAGTGCACAGATTCCATTCTCTTTACGCTCCATAAAGAAGAACTGGCAAAATGATGCTCTTGTAGAGTCAGAGTTTCGTTTCTCTGCAGTAATTGTTGGATTTCCAGATTTGCCTCATCCTTCCAAAAGCAGCTCTAGCTTTGTTCAAGCCTGACTGTACCTCTTCCTGTGTCCCTCCCAGTAGGGATTAGACACTGCCAAGATATGTGAAATGTTCTACATTTTCAAGTGATTGGTTACTTATGGTCACTGGTTGTTGGTTTGGACTGTTTGTCATGATCTTAGTTTTCTTTGTATTTATTCTCAGTCCCACCATTTCTGCTGTGCTGTGTAGTCTGCTACTTTTCTCTTGTATATGTTCATGTTTATGTGATAGCAGCGCTATATCATCTGCAAAATCAAGGCCCTCAAGCATGGTGAATGGAGTCCACCGTATGCCTTCAGATCAGTTATTCAGCCTTATGTGCTTTCAGAGCTAATGAATCTTCAGTGTCTTGCATCCACCTTTGAGGAGTTCTGCCTCCGATTGTTTCCGGAAACTTCCTTCTTGCCACTGTGACATTTAACATGGCCCAGATACCTCAGCTTTTGGGACATGATGCTGTTTATAAGCCAGTTCATCAAGGATATCAGAAACTTGATATGGAAACAGAAAGATAATGTCTACAGTAACAGTATAAACTAGTGAATGTCTGCAGAATATGGTATTGGAGGATTTTCCATAGCTATGCAGTTAACTCTAGTTAGTTAATTAATCGACAGATTATCTTCATTGCACTTCGGACAAGTCCATAAACGCTCAAGACCCATCTTCAGTATATCCCTCAGCGTGTAGTGACTGTCATTGATAAGACCAGTACTATGTTGGTTTACTGTTCGGTTATTATCAGCACAATGTTTCGCCATGATGACAGCAAAAACGTCAAATCCGCAACATACTGTTGAACATATTTCCATGACGGTTTCAGCTCAGATGCATGAAACTCCGTAGCACTGGTGAAAATCTTTGAGGAAAAAAAAGAACGTCCTTTGTTACTTTTGCATCCCATTAACTATAAACAGTGCACAGATTCCATTCTCTTTATGTATAATTAGTGGCGGTTAGAAAGCAACAATGACCGCTGCCATCTTGCCCCGGAACTCTTTCCGCCTAAAAAAATGCTCAGTATTTACTGGATATTACTCATATGCACCAGTGAACATGTTTTGTGTATTTGTACATTTAAAGTTTCATCAGGCAGACTAAATCAATCCAGCACACACAAGTCACCCACAATGTGCAGTGTACTTGGATCCTGTGGACGCACTATACCCATGCTTTTGTTGTCATCATTTGCCATAGTCAGGCATCAGCTGTGATCTTCTGGGACTGTAAGAGATCAACTGTATGCGTGGCACTCTTTAAGTTTGTGGATTCATGTCCTTTGCTTCATGAGTCATTTTTACGGAAATTCTTAAGGATCGCTACTGGAGTTGTGTGCATTCATTCTTTGTACAGTGCTCTCAGCAGGTTACTAGCTGTTTTACCGAGAGAGACAGCCATATACGTATATTAGTAAAAGCAGTGGAAACTCAGGATACATATTTAATTCATTGCATGTCTGAGCTCATATGAACATTACAGTTAGCGTAAATAAGTTTCATTCTTTCCAGCCCTCCATAAATCACTCTGTTGGTTTCAAAATGATGTTTTTCATTTGGTTAACAGGGGAAATGTGTGGCATTGCTTTTAATTTGTTGTTTTTGCCAGCAAGCACTCTGTTGCTACAGTCCACCACCATCATCATCATCATCAAGTCCCTTGTCGACGGCAGTATGAACAGGACTTAATTCTTCTTCTTCTCATTCGCCAACTGTAAACTCTGGCGGAAAGTTCTGGTTGTTCATTCACTTCTGGACTGCAGTCCTGTTGCAGAACCTGAGTGTTGCGTGTGCATCCATTTTACAGATGTATGCAGACTGCTGGTTCCTTGCCTCTCAGGCAGATGCACTCTGACTTTAAAGGAAGCTCCCAATTAGTGGACTCTTACGACATGCTTTTGGGTAGGCAGTGGTTCTATTTTTGTTTTCCCTATAATAGAGCTCCGGAACCCACACGGGGAACTTAATTCATTCATTCAAACGGTATCAACATACTGTATGGTAACCCTGGGAGTTGTCGTCTCTCCAGCTCACATCCTGGATTTCAACTCATATTCTCGGGCAAAAAAAAGGAAAGAAAAAAAAAAAAAACTTGGTGAGTCTGACCTGGTAATCTTAAAAATCATATCCAGATACACTCGTATTCTGAGGTTCCACTGCATGATAAATTCCGGTCTTTTTAAATGTTTGCTGCACAGGCACAGTCGATACCAGTGCTGACAGCCAGGCTTCCTATTACAGTGTGAAGTTGATCCTCTTGCCTGTTACTTTTGTAAGCTTTAAAATATAGTGCTGGTTATTCCTTGCAGCCCTCACGGTGGGCTCTGGTGTGCTGCTTGTGTAAAGAGCGTGTGGGGGCCTGTATCCAGTGCTCTGTGAAACAGTGCAAGACAGCTTTTCATGTGACCTGTGGCTTTGCTCATAACCTGGATATGAAAACTATTGTTGATGATTCTGATGATGCTGATGGGATTCACTTACGGGTAAGATACTTGTGCTTTAACTTGTTAACCCCGTTGACCTAGAAAAAAATCAACAAGTATTTAGGGAATTCCCTGATAATATAGATATATATATATATATATATATATATATATATAGTATATATATATATATATATATATATATATTATATATATATATATATATATAAACCCAATAAAGGTCATTTTTATGTTTATATAACAGTATACATAATATGAATATTTAGTAAAAATTAGAAAGGCATGGATGGTCAATGCATGCATGCACGCACGCACACTCACACAAACATACTTACACACATACACACTCGTTCATACCTAAACATACACTTTCATGCAGACGCACACATGTACTCTCAGATAATATCTTTACACATACATACCCACACATTCATTTATACACACACTCAATAGTTAGTTGGTTAGTTAGTCGACAGCTTATCTACATTGCACATTGAACCGTTCAGTCCATAAGTACTCGCATCCCCTCCTTTGTAAATCCTGCAGCGTGTGGCGGTCCCATCACCATTTCTGTGTTGGTTTCTTATCCTTCTTTGGCTTCCTGCATAGTGCTCTTGTCTGGCAGACCTCTCTTAACATGTTGTTCTCGCAGTCTGGTCACTGTTGCAGATTCACAGCCATCACTTGGTTCTTGCAAACGTTTTACTTCTCATAGAGCATTCAGAATACCAGCTTGGTCCATGGCTTGTCTGCTCTCCACAGCAGCTTTACCTGCAAGCCGATCAGCTTGCTCCTTTCCTTGCACACCTGCGTGCCCTGGAACAAATATGAAACTGATATGTGTCAGCCCTGACCACCCTAGAGACTCCAACTACTGCCTTCATATCCAGCCCTTCTCTATCTTCCTGGGCAGACTCATTGAGTCACTGAGAAAGCATGCATGGGGCAAGGTCTGTGTCTCCAGCCATGTTTTTGCTTTGGTCACTGCCATGACATCCATAGTCAGACTACTTGTGCTCAATGCAACAGCGTTAGAATCTGGCTTTACAATTCTAACTCCAGCCTGAGCCCAAGAGCTTCTCACATGGCGAATTACAGACCCATCTGTATGTGTGTGACAGCATCCCCCTGCATACTGACACGATCACATATACACAATCATACACACTGACATTTACAAACGTTACCATACTCTTACATTCATACAAACATTCCTACATACCTACATAGTACACAATAAAACATGCGAGCTGGTCTTTGAAGGGTGAATGGGGAAGAATTGTAGGATTCTTTTTCTAACTTTTGAGATGTATTGCGTTTATGATGCTGAATAATATATGTATAAACAAGGCTGTTGTGGTTAAGGGATTTCATGTGAAAAATATCACACCAGCAGCCTTTACTTCCTCAGACTCTTTCGTTCTTTCTTGTGTTGGTGGGTTCCATGGCCCCATTTTGGAGGAGTGGAAAACACCCTATAGCCTCCAACAAGCATCTTGTAAAAGGCGACTGGTTAGGGATTTTTCCTTTGAAGTTTGAACACATCTGCCTGTCGGTGAGGAACCAACAGTCTGCATACAAGTAAGCCAGATTTGTAAACTGGACCTGCATGCAAAATTCAAGTTCTGGAACAAGATTCAAGTCCAGAAGTGGACAAACTGAACAACCAGATCTTTCCACCGGAACTTACAGCCGGTGGACACTCAGAACTTTTATCCCCATTTGAGGGCTGTCATAGAATTCAGATAATTGAGCACCATGTTGATAAGGCATGATACGTACTAGCTACTGAACTTCAGTGCCTCCCCAAAACATGGGTGTCACAAAAAGTCCTCATTTTGCTGTCATGGTATGAACATTGTGTCTTTAAAAAAAAAACATGTTTATAAGGTAGGCAGCACATTAAATATGACATTTGATGTGAGGTAAAAAAAAAAATATATATATATGAAAATTACAGTTCATGTATGCCACGACGTGACATTGTCATGACATTAATGTCAGTAAAGATTATATAGGGAAGGGGGATGTTCAGGTCCCTGTTGTGGTGGGGAGGGGGGAATAAATCATCTGCCGCCCTAACAAACATGCCGTAAAAGGTAATTAATTAGGGTTTAGCTAAAATCAGATTGTTGGACTGAAAGCGTAGATATCACAGCCTAGCAGTAAACTGCAAAGCCTCTTACTAAATGCTTTTTTATAAGTGAGAACACAGAAGAAGAAGAATATATATATTGTGGAGAACATTATGAACATAATTTCATATGGGTTGCCAAGATTATAATTATTGCATTTTGTATGTTTTATGTTTCACATATTTTATTATTATTTGAAGAAAAAAAAGTTGTTATTTCACATGTTATAATGATTATATCTATAAAGATTGCAATTATTTGTGTTATGATTATTTTGTTAGAATTACTCTGCCTAGAAATACGTTTATATTGTTGTTTAAGTTAGGTTTGTTTCTTGATTATATAGGCTTACTGTCCAAAACACACGAAAAACCAAAATGCATCTGAATCGGAATCACCAAAGAAGGAAGATCTAGCAGATAATGAGAATGATGTTTCTGAAGCTGAAATGGCAAAGAAGAGATCAGAAAAGTAAGATGAAGGTTTCATCATTAAGTTAAGATTGTAAAGAAATTGTGTGTTTAATAGTCTGTGTTAGCATTTTTCAGCCCCCCCCCCCCCCCCCCCCCAAATGCCCCCTTTATTTTTAACAGACCACTAATAATTTCTAAAATGTATTAACTTTTTGTTCTGAAATATATAAAGATATGTCATATCAAGCGCCATGGCAGACTGGAAAAATAATAGCAGATGGCATGATACCAGGAAGGAGATGTAGGTGCCGACCAACACGAAGATGGGCACAGAATATAAATGACTGCTTCAATATGAAAGTATCTGAGGCAGGAGAGCTGGCGAAAGACCAAGTTTCTTTTAGGCAGACCGTGATGAGAGCGACGTTCTGCACAGGACCTGCTACATGATGATGATATGAAGCAGATAATCAATAAACACAATCAGGGTGAAGCATTAAATGTTATACTTAAAAACTGTGTGTATCGGGCGACTCTTGCAGTGACTCCATGGCCTGTATCACTTAGGCTTATGGGAGTATTTGATGTGAACCTGGTTTTAAAAAAAATCTGTTTGGCTCAAAAGAAAACCCCTTAAATGCTATTTTTAAGTCGATGTATTCGTATCATGACCTAAATTTTTGCGCAGGTACAAAACCGGCCAGTAGCATTAACTGTCTCATAAGCAGGTCACTGTAGACGAGTCGGAAAAGGGACATTTATGGGGAATTGGACCCCGCTGGAAGGGTCAAAAGGATTGAGAAGAAAATTAGTATCAGTACAAGAAAACGTTTAAACAAAGTGGTGATATTTTGAGCAGGGAGCTTTCTTTTCACTTGTATTTCCAAATGGCACAAGATAAGCTGTTTCATGTCCTTAATGAGTGCTGCATCTGTTTACTCTGAACAGAAAAACCACTCTGCTTAAACTCGGTGGCATTCGAGGTCCTTATAGATTAGACGCTCATAGTAACTAAATAAAACATTTCAAAGTCTGCCAGAGATTTGGCTGCATTCAGAATGAATTCAGAATCTTGTCTGAGGCCAAGAGAAAGTACTGATGCCGCTTAAATGCAGAAGCAGACATTTTTTGTTTCAATTATCATTTAACCTCAAACAAGGAAATAAAAAAAAAAACCTGATGCCACTTAAATGCAGAAGCAGAAATTTTTTGTTTCAATTATCATTTAACCTGAAACAAGGACATTTAAAAAAAAAAACCTGAAGCCACTTAAATGCAGAAGCAGAATTTTTTTTCTCCAATTATCATTTAATCTTAAACAAGGAAACCTTAAAAAAAAATAAAAAGTACACCTGCAGTAATGCTTGATATTATCAGTAAGCTAGATTCTATTCTGGCTTCCAGTCTGGGATTTCCACATTCTAGCTAGCATCATTACTTCACATGACTTTGTCACTCACATGCACAAATATCAACGTGGAAACAGCTACTACTGTCTACAATTAACAGCTCAGAGTGGCACTCAGGTTCTATGTAAATTCTACCAGTTTATTCCATCTGATTCTTCCACTGTATTCAGTCACAGTTCTTTCAGTCACTGCCATCGGAGCTCACTTCCACGATAATCCTACAATGATCCTTCACATAATGTTTAGTTAGTTAGTTGCGTATTCTTTACAGGACGTTGCAGAACCAATCCCAGTATTTTTTGGCTGATGTGGTTTTTCTAGGCAAATTTACATCCAGTAGTTTGCCATTGGTCCGTTCTGTGGCTAAGTCGATGTGAGCGCTTTGTAATGCCAGGATGCTTGGGTTCGATCCCAGTGGCAGGTCATGCGCCTTGTGTTGGTTTTGACAGTGGTATCAAGAAAACCGACCGTCCAGAAAGCAGTGGCAAACCACTGGACGCAAATTTGCCTAGAAAAGCCACACAACAGCCAGGGGCTGTTGGGGTTGGTTCTGCAACGCCCTGTAAAGGATACTCAACTACCTTTAGTTTGCCGTTGCTTTCTGGACAGTAAGCTTCTTGATACCACTGTTTAAACCATCGCAAGGCCCGCAGCTAGGACCGAACCCGGCACCGCGGCGTTACAATGCCTAGCCACAGACGCCAATAATGTTTAGTACATTTCATTTAAACAACATCGGCTACATCAGAGCCATCTTCTTCAAACTCTGGTACGCAACTGACCAAGGTCCAGCCTCTGGGTTTTTCTCGTTCTCTCCAGCCCTCGAGTGTCCTGTGTCGTCTCATGCAGAGGTTGATGGTTGGCTTGATGTGACCATAGGCCACCATGCACAGCACGGTTATTACACAACCACAAGTGTTACATTCAATATTTATACATTATTTTATGGTACCTTTTTTTTGCTCTCACCAGCATTTTAAACTCTGTTACAACACATATGGTTTGATTTATTGAACTTTGGAAGAAATTTTATTTATGGCTGAAAATTGACACTATCATGTATGTGTATTAGTGATTGTTGAGAATAAATGGACTGTTATGGTAAATTTCAAAGTTTAAAAAAAATATATATATTTTGATTGCATGGGCTTTCCCTGTGGGTTCCAGAGCCCTAGTTTGGGAACCAAAGAAAAGAATAGACTCACTGCTTCCCTAACAAGCATGTCATACAAGGCGACTGTTCAGGGGAAATCCTTCGAAGTTGGAGTGCATCTGCCTGAGAGACGAGGTACCAGCAGTCTGCATTGGAATAAGCTGAATCTGTAAAATGGGTGTGCACGCAAAACTCAAGTTCTGGAACAAAATCAAGGTCTAGAAGTGGACAAACAACCAGAACTTTCTGCTAGTTTACAGCAGGTTAAAGCTAAGAGAAAGAGAAGATAGATTGCATGGTCATTGCACAATGTTTGAGATATATTTTCACTTTATGGTTAAGGAACTGTCCTCCATTGGGAGATGGAAAGTGGAAGAAAACAAGACAAAAATATTGAAGACTAGATCATTACAAAATTAATCGTACTTGCTGCAAAGATTTTTGAATGCCCCCAAACCTGAAATATGAAGGCATATCAAATTGTCTGGAAAATTGTGATGAAGGCGTTTGATTATAAAACTCATTCTTTACTTCTACCTCCCTGCAGGCTCAAACAGCTGGAGGAAGAGTTCTATACTCTAGTAGACACCCATGAGATAGCTACCAAGTTTTTTATACCCGAGGAGGCAGTCGACATTGTTACAGAATATTGGAAGCTGAAGAGAAAGGTCTGTGATCTTTTATTGTATCCTGTTGTCATCATTATGTGTTGATCACTGTGATCTTTTATTGTATCCCGTTTCATCATTATGTGTTGATCCCTATGATCTTTTATCGTATCCTGATTCATCATTATGTGTTGATCACTGTGATCTTTTATTGTATCCTGATTCATCATTATGTGTTTATCACTGTGATCTTTTATTGTATCCTGATTCATCATTATGTGTTGATCACTATGATCTTTTATTGTATCCTGTTTCATCATTATGTGTTGATCACTGTGATCTTTTATTGTATCCCGTTTCATCATTATGTGTTGATCCCTATGATCTTTTATCGTATCCTGATTCATCATTATGTGTTGATCACTGTGATCTTTTATTGTATCCTGATTCATCATTATGTGTTTATCACTGTGATCTTTTATTGTATCCTGATTCATCATTATGTGTTGATCACTGTGATCTTTTATTGTATCCCGTTTCATCATTTTGTGTTGATCGCTGTGATCTTTTTTTTTTTTTTTTATCCTGTTTCATCATTATATGTTGATCACTGTGATCTATTTATTGTATCCCGTTTCATCATTTTGTGTTGATCGCTGTGATCTTTTTTGTATCCTGTTTCATCATTATGTGTTGATGACTGTGATTTTGAATTGTATCCTGTTTCATCGTTTTGTATTGATCACTGTGATCTTTTATTGTATCCCGTTTCATCATTATGTGTTGATCACTGTGATTTTGAATTGTATCCTGTTTCATCGTTTTGTATTGATCACTGTGATCTTTTATTGTATCCCGTTTCATCATTATGTGTTGATCACTGTGATCTTTTATTGTATCCTTTTTCATCATTATATGTTGATCACTGTGATCTTTTATTGTATCCTGTTTCATTATTATGTGTTGATCACTGGGTCCTACTTTGAACAGACCATTTGTGGTCTCATTGGGAGTTGAAAAAACATCTGCTCTCTTTCAAGAATTGATATCACAGCACTTGGGGAATTCCCACACGCACTCCTTTCCTATATTCAGCAGCCAGGACAGAGTTCTGGTGCTAATTGTACCAGTCATAATCTGGTTATATGTTTGTCTAGCCTTTCCTCTGATTGTAATGAGCTGGCCAGATCCTCTGGTCACACCCAGGTGCACATTCTCTCTCCAGACCATAATAATCTAGCTCAACTTCTGACTTTGTTACTTGTTCTCAGAGGGTTTTGAGCCTATTTTCCTTGTCTTGTATCACTTCACCATCCCGTCATGCAGATCCAGCTTATCTGTCTGTCTTTTCATTCCCTGCCACACCAGCCTGACCTGGAGTAAAGACTCAAAGTATGCTCACCGTGACCTTCCAAATAAAGCTTGCCACTCTACGCAAAGCAACCGTATCCGTACCTCTCTCAGTATGCTTTCAGAGTCTGTTACAATTACGATGTGTGTTTTACAATTACGACATGTGTATGCATCTTGTTCTGAAGCCACCAGCAATCTATAGTAACCGCTGGAATGGTAGGAAAACAGATAAGGCAGCCGTCCTCGAGGCAGAAGTTGACTATATAATAAATAGAGAAAGGTGTGTGCAGTTGTACCTGTTTGTGTGGTCATTGAAGTCCCAAGACTGCTCCCTGTTGATCTGTTGGGGGTGCTGTCCATGACGGGTAGGAAACTCAACATAACAGATGTGAGGTTAAGCATTCATATGCAGATTCCTTGGGTGACCCCAGGACCAGAGTGTCATGTTTCGGCTCTGCATTTATGGAAGCCTCCTTGGATGACGGGGAAGGCTCATGCTCTGCCCCTGTCTTCGACTGAGGACTGACCAGTCTATGTGTGATTGCATTAGACAGATTTTCTCCAGTGGCAACACCTGTAGATGAGGGGATAAAAAGGACACCACACAAGTAAGGCTATACTGGCTAAAAGATGCAAATATCGCAGCTTTGCTGTAAACAGGCACAGCACAGTTACTTTAGTCTGGCGAAGAAGATTTAGACAGTAATTTTTGTGGGACATGTTAGGAGAAGGAAGAGACTAAAAAACTCAATTAGATCAGGCTAGACTGATAGGACAAGAGCAAGGGAAAGGTTTAGCCATACTGGTGAGATAAGACAAGAGCCCTGACCTGACCCTTGATTCTGGTGATCCTGTGAAACACGACTTCCTGTGCTTATCAGTACAACACACAATGCTGTCTTTTTTAAAAAGATGTCTGATTGACTGTTTCGAAGTACAGTGTAGTACTGTTGTCATTTGGAGGTAGGTTAGAATCACTAGATATTATTTTGCTGGCTCTCCTGTCAACTATGGCCGGTAGACAACAGTAGACAGCCGGTTAGTCGGAGTTCTGTCCCTTGGCTACAGTGCATACGGTTACGTGCACTGCCCTGCTATAATCATACGGTTTGGGTTAGGGTTAGAGTTAGGGTTTGGGTTAGGGCTGGGAGTGGAAAAGGCACGAATCACAAAACAAAGTGACATCGACATGGCTGCTAGAACTCGACCACATGCCGCGACTCACATTAGCGAGCACATTCTTGCGACGCAAGACTTAGCCAATTGGGCACTAGCCGGGCGCTATTGCCTTCACATTTAGCAGAATTTCAATGGCGCCACTGCCACATGCAGCACATTGTCGGCTATTATTTGGAACTCCTGTCTGAAAATTATTACATATAGCGGCCGTCATTATGGGTAGGTACTCGACGTTACATGTGTTACCCTAACCCAAACCCTAACTCTAACCCAAACCCAGCCCTAACCCTAACCCAAACCCAGCCCTAACCCAAACCCTAACTCTAACCCAAGCCCTAACCCTAACCCAAACCGTAACCGTATGATTATATCAGGGCAGTGCATGCTGTCTATCGCCAACACACAATAATTGTGTCAATTGTTTCGTTCCCTCCTTTTCCACTCCGTAATTGCACTGTAGCCAAGGGATAGAACTCCGACTAACCGGCCTACTACTGTTGTCTACCGGCCGTAGATTACAGGAGAGCCTATTTTGCTTGCCATTGCCTCCTAGAAAATTTCCTGTTTCCCATCTTAGGCTGGGCCAATGTGGAATTTTTAAAAGCATCTTAGTCTCTCAGTTGATGGTAAACACTCCTCATTGTTGCATAGTGTTGGACCCAGATTTATGGCTGCCTCTCAAAGACAGTAGCTATATTGTGGGCGGAGCTGAAGCATCTGTGAGGAGAATGCAGAAGAAGAAATTAAATCCCTAGAGTACCATTGGAGGGTCGTAGGTTTGGGTCCTGGCAGAACCAAGCTCCCAGGTCGACCCAGTCTTGAGTGGGTACCAGGTGCAGTCCTGGGAAGTAAAGGCGGCCGGTTGACCAACTCACCCACCAAATGCCGGTTGGTCCATAAAATATAGATCTAGCCCTGCATGCCTAATATGCCTGAAGGGTCCTTTACTTTTCTTACCATTGTGTTGTCTTTAAAGGAGGGGCAGGGGCCGACCAACACCAAGATGGGCACAGGATCTAAGTGACTCCTTGAGGGTGAAAGTGTATGAGGCGGGAGAACTGGCGAGAGACAGAGTTTCTTTCAGGCAGACTGTAATGAGAGCGACGTTCTACATGATGATGTCTTTAAATATGTATCCATTTTTGTGTGTGTCACAGGTGAATAAAAATAAGCCCCTGATAACTCCAAAGATGGAGGAGGAAGATCAAATGCAGAAACAGCAACAGGACAGTCTCAGCGCTCGAATGAAGATGTTTGTTCATTTGAGACAGGATTTAGAGAGGGTGAGTGTCTTTGGCTTGGTTTGGTTGGTGAAAAATTACTCTCCTATCACGGTGATGCTTCCATTAGTGCTGCATTCATTAGTAATGGATTCTCCTTTTGTAGGTCACACACAGAGGCTCACAGCCCAGTGCACTATCTTCTTAGCAGAAGCAAAAACCTCAAAATGCTGTAACCATAACTGCACATTAAACTATTTTTCTCCCCATATGTGTTCCAGAGCCCCACTTGGGAAAAGGGGTGGGGGGGGGGGGAGGGGTTGAAAGAATAGACCCACTATTCTTCAACAAGCCTGTCATAAAAGGCAAATAATGAAGGATTTGCTGTGTTTGGATGTGTTGGGACAAATGGCACAGATATCACAGTCTGGCTGTAAAACAACACAATTTGTCAGCCACTTTTTTCTAAGATGAACGCAGATGAATAATAAATACTACTTTTATGAAAAAAGAGTTCTAATTTTCATGTTAGGTTGGGCATTGGCCCACTCTGTTTTTGGTTTTCAATCACTGAGGATACATTTTTGCATGAAACCCTTGCCATCCACACTGTGAATTGTACCTTGTCTACTTCATTTAGAGGCAGACATGTAGGTAACTAAGCTCCTGTGTTCTTTAAAGCAGACGCAAAACTCTTTAACGCAAGTTCGAGATTAAATATATTTCACAGTGGACTTCATTACGCTTGGGATTGTCCCATACGATTTGGTCTCTCTCCACAGAGAGGTTAGCCATCTGCTGAGAGTTGGGTACATAGCACAGACTGAAGGAGCGTTGAATACGGACGAAGACTAATGTTAGATCTCTGTCTGATCAGAATCTGTAGTTTTTACCATTTTTGTCTTTCCGAAAACAAAAGCTGCGGGCACTCACTACAGAGTGTCTGTTACAGTAGCACTGTTTGTATTTGACAAGAAAGAGCAAGATAGTGTACAACGCAGAATGGCCACCCTCAGTTATATTGATGAAGAATACCCACAAGAACAATGGGTCAGAGTCTATACAGATAGGTCTGTTCAAAGTGCAGTTAGAAATGGTGGTGCTGGTGTGTACATAGAATTCCCATATGGTACTAGGGATAAGTCCAGCATACCAACCGGGAAGTACTGCCATAACTATGATGCAGAAACTCAGGCTATCAAGATAGCAACAGAGAAACTGCTTAATACCAATCTTGGCTCAGAGTATGTGGTAATGCTGACAGATGCAAAATCAGTACTCCAGTCTAGAAAACTATCAGAATTGCAAACACTGCTGACACAACTCAGCCTTCAGCGAAGAGTTGTAATGCAGTGGATACCATCACATTGTGGAGTGCCTGGAAATGAGAAAGCTGATCAACTGGCAGGAGAAGGTGCAACAAAGGTGCAACCGGATGTACCAGTCACATACCATCAAAAGAAAAGAATCATTAAATCGATCAGAAAACCACCAGCCCCAGCACAAGACAACTATTCTATTATGGACAGACCAGAACAAGTCATTATCGTCCGCCTCAGAACAGGGCACAACCGATTACATAACCACATGTACACAAAATTCAGTATAGGTGTATCAGCCATGTGCACATGTAGAAAGGTGCCCTAGTCAGCAGAGCATGTACTCCAGGACTGCACGAATTTGACACATTAAGGCAAACCTTTTGGCCAGAAAGAACAACAGTGGAATGTAAACTCCAAGGACCACAGAATGAACTAACAGCGACAGTGAAAATTATACAAGAGAAAAAATTGCTGATATCGACAACTTATTTCAGGCGAACAAAAGAAGAAGAAAAAGAAGTAGCACTGAAAAAAATGTGCCTTAGCATACGTGCCGGTACTGCATACTGTTGAGTACCAATAGAAAAAAGCCCTTCTTATTTCCCATGCATTTGCTGAGAAAGACACAGCGTTTCTGGACATGACCTGAGTACAGTGTTGTTTTTTCTGTAATCCAGTGACCATGGGAGGTCACATGAAAATCTGTCATGAATGATGTGGGGTGACCAGCAGCAGTTTTAAATATAATATGTTGTTTCGTAATAATTATTTAGCAGTCATTTAAAAAAAAAATAAAGTGGCATGTTTCTATCTTGGGTTTTATGCAGACATGGAATACCTATTATGCTCCTTCTCTTTGTATAGTTTGCTTGGATTTTTATCATGGTATGGGGCGTTGTAGGTCGACCCAGCCTAAAATGGGTACCAGGGTGTATGTCTTGGGGAAGTAAAGACGGCCGGCGTAATGCTGACCACATTAACCACCTAGTGCCGATTGGTCTATGAAAATATGGGTGCTCTTCCCTTATGCCCGATGCGCTTAAAGGCGTGTAAAGGGATCTTTACTTTACTTTGTATAGATCCCAACCTTAATGAGAAGGCAAACATAGCTAATGGTTACCCACAAGTACATCTCAGCTTTGCTGTTAAAACACACACACTCGCATGCACGTGCGCACACAGAGAGAGTGAGAAAGACAAGACAACACAAAAGTTGAGAATTTTTTTAACATTGTCTCTTTCTGTTGTATGTCTCAGAAACAAATGTCCATGGTTATGTTCAGTTCATGTTCAAGTGGGAAATTTGTTTTAAGAATTGCTTATTATTTACTTAATCGACAGATCATTCTCATCGTGCATTGGACAAGCTCATCAGCACTTATATACTATCTTCTGATCGATTTTGTAAAGCTAACATAAACTAATTGTTGTTTCTTACCAACTTTTTCTCTTCCCTATAATTTTCTACTTCTTATAAAAACTGTAAATTTTTTAGCACGTTGCAACTGTTAACAAAAGTTCTTTGTTAATTGGCTATGCTTCTTTGGCTGCCTGTATAGTGTTCAAGTCTGGCGCCACTTTTTTTGACTTGAAGTTCTTGTAGTCTTGTCGGGGGTTGCACATTCACTGTCGTCATCTAATCTTACTGCCTCCTTGAGAGCATTGTGAGCATCGGCCTGGTTGATTGCTTTTCCTGTGCCTCAAGTGGGCCTGCCAGCAAGCCAGTCCGCTCGTTCGTTCCCTCTTACTTCAGAATGTCCTGGTGGGTGTCTTACATACAGAAAAATATGGCACATATCTATGTTATCCCTTGGTACAATGTAGAATACTGTTTCCTGGTAATAATGGAGGGGGCTGGGGTGACTGTCTGGCTCATGTGCTGTGTAAAACCCTCAGCATTATTTGGTCTGGCCCTACCAAGGCAACTGCGGTTAAATGGTTTTCTTCTTTAGCGTTCACAAGCTAAAGACTCTAGTAGAAAGTTCTTGTTGTTCATCCATTTGTGAACTTTGGTCTCCTGTTCCAGAACTTGAGTTTTGCATACACATCCATCTTACAGATCTAGCTTATTTGTATGCAGACTGTTGGTTCTAAAATCACAGTCAAATAATTTCCAGCTTTGAAGGCACACCCCCCCCCCCCCCCCCCCAACCCAAACTAATCAGTCACCTTGTACGGCAGGCTTGTTAGATATACGGCAGGTCTATTCTTGTCGCCCCAGATCCACATGGATAATGTTTTGACTTAATGTGTGACAGAATATGTTGACAGAGGACATGAGATTAGATGAAATAACATGTGAAAGAATGCCTGAACGAGGAATTAGGAGTGGATCTGGCAAGAAGGAATGTATGAGAGGTAGAGAACCACATATGTATAATCAATGTGCTACGGAAACAGCAAGAGACAGAGCACCTGTTGGTATGCCTGGTGTGCTGTGATGTTGATTCTTAAATCAGTAATCAGTAACGGCGCTCAGTAGATAACGCTCCTCACTTCTGCCCTGAGGAATAGCTCTCTCTCTCTCTCTCTCTCTCTCTCTCTCTCTCTCTCTCTCTCTCTCTCTCTCTCTCTCTCTCTCTCTCTCTCTCTCTCTCTCTCTCTCTCTCTCTCTCTCTCTTCTCTCTCTGTGTGTCTCTCTGTGTGTTTGTGTGCGAGAGAGAGAGAGAGAGAAAGATTTTCTTAAATGGACCTTGGCTCCCAGGTTAACCCCACCTTAAGCCAGTACCAGGTCAAGTCCTGGAAAGTTAATACAGCCAGCATGACGCTGACCACATTACTCACCAAGTGCTGATTGATCTACAAAATATAGGTCTGTCAATATATTCTCAATACACCGAAGGGCAGGGTAAAGGGTCTTTTGCTTTCTGGTTAAACTATTTATTTTATTATATCTTTTTAAAATATATGCTTATTCTGTTGCATAATGGTTTTGCCTTAATTTCTTCAGGCTCGCAACCTTTGCTATATGATCAGCAAGCGAGAAAAGAACAAACGACAACTCTTCAAGTTAAAAGAGGGCGTCTTTCATGCCCAGATTAGAGTTCTGACAGATCCGGATCTGAATCTGAGTGCCAGAGAAGCGGAGAAAGTTCGGCAGGACTATTATTTTGATTCGATTTACAGTGACTACGGAGCTGGATCTGCCCGCAGCAACAGCAGACAACCACGGGAAAATCTGTTCACTCTGGAAAATCTTAAAACCCCAAAGGATTTTGATGAAAGCAGTGATGAATTGAGTAAACGAGGTGGCAAAATTTCTCACAAGTCTGTGAGATTGGGCAAAAGTATTACAAAGAAAGATGTGGGTTTGTTAAAGGGGTATGGCTCCCTAACAGCTTCGGCCTCGACCAGTGACAAGTCCACACTTCATAAGAGGGGTAACATCTTTTCTGAGGGTTTAAAGATACTGACCGATTCCACAGCAGAAAGTAGTGAGGAGGAATCTCTAGCCACCTTAGCAAAAACAACCCAGTCTTCCCAAATGAGCAGGTTGGGAAAAGTAAAGCTGAAGGAGATAGAAGAGAAGGGGTCAGATGGTGAGCCCGGGGACGTCAGAACTTTTCCTGAGTCGCCCACCAAGAAGTTCGTCCCTTCAAGTGACCTGAGAAAGAAACTGACTTCAATTCTGCAGTCCAAAAATATGATGCACCAGCGTCAAGAGAAGATGCCACCAGTTCTGTCAAAGTCAGTGACCGGAGCCTTGCATGTGGATGTAGAGAACTCCGATAGCGACATGTTTACATCTGACACAAATACAGATTTGGTATCCCCGGCTGACCAGCCTCGGAATTTGTTTGACCAGTTTAAGGTACAAGGGAAACCTATTTTGTCATCCCCTGAAATCCAAAGTGTGACCACAGCACGCTCACGTTCGCATTACAGAAAGTACAAAATTAAGAAGCACATTCGCAGGCACAAGAAATCCAGGCTGCAGCTGTTGTCGTCGTCTGACCAGTCCAATTCCTCCAGCACCACAAATAAACCAGAATCTGCAGTCTCTGGTGCCGCAGACATTGCCTCGGTTAGGCAGACTAGTCATCTGTTGAGCGATGATACAGACCACGATGTTTCCTCTTTAAGCCCCACCCTGACGGCCGATGCATCTGATGTTGATTGTCACAGCAGCTCCCACCCATTCAGCACCTCACAGCTGCAGTCAGGTAAAGGGAAAAAGAGGAAGCTGCACAGAGATCTCATTTCATTGGAGCCTTCTGGGAAATCTCTTCATGTTTTAGACAATACGATGCCACAGCTGTCGCCCTCACCCAGGGTAAACCCACGTGATATTTATTCTACGATAGATGGCGACATCTATGTCCCTAGTGGTAAGATTCAGATCACTGAAAGAACGATAATTCTAGATGACCCAGTTGAAGAGAAGCGTCCTCGCCCTCGAAGTAAACTTAGGCTGAAAAAGCAAGCCAATTCACCTGTTAAAGGCATAATTAGTTATGAAGTTGTCAAAGATAACTATGATAGACATGATGCTAATGAAGATGTTAAGCCAAAGAGTGACGCTGAGGAAAAGAGAAATATCTTTGACAGTGTGCTGGACAAAGATTTGTCAGAAGCTGAGATTATAGAGAAAAAGTCTGAGTCTGAGTTGCCTTCGTTCAGTCCAAGAAGCCTTCGGAAACATAAAAAACAGGAAGATGTTGATCTGGAAACACCGGATAAAAAGATTTCTGATTCATATCATCCAGAGTCCGTGGCAGAGGTTAAAACCGAAGTGGAATATCAGAATGATTGTTCAGAAAATGACATTCATATTGAATCTAGACAAAAGAGGACAAGAAGCAGATCGCTGCTGCCAACATCATTGCCTGCAGATAATGACGCGAAGGGGGCCTCGGCTGACGAAAATTTTAAACCCAGATTTGAGCCGTCAAGAGTTTCTCCGCCGCACACCCGCAGGTCACGGACGTCTCGCCAGAGTCATACGGATGAAACTGATGGAGAAGATGGGTCTGAGGATTTCAGAATAAATCAGTCGAGAAAAAAGTGTTCCTACACCCGCATGTCCACTGATGGACAGGGGGGTCGAGGGGTTGTGTTGACATCCGTACCAAACAAACTGGCAGCCCTTCATGACAGCAGGCAATTAATTGTTAAAGACGATGTGAAAAAACGTGTCATTGCTAATTTAGATAAAATTATAAAAGGTAGGAGTAGGTGGCGCGGGAATGGGTTTGTGGATCGTTCTCAAACATCCATAGATAGATTTGTGAAAAGAACTAATAGCAGTGAAAATGTATTCTCAAAGCCAGATGTGATAAAAGATCCTCATGCAAAACGTGTATCATCACAGCCGACTAGACATGATCTCACCCCGCTTCAGGTAAATAAATCATCGTCACCAAACACACCAAATGATAGAAGTTTCTCAAGTAAATTATCTGTTTCATCTCCCATTAAGGCAGCCCCTAGAGATAATGTCTTTGGTGCTCACACTTCCTCGAGAAACATTTTTAACAATTATCGTATACCCAGAAAAGTGGATAGTTCTTCCTGTGGTCAGAACGCAACACCCACAAATATTGGGGACACTTCTCACAAAACAGGGGACAGTTCTGACAAAACAGGGGACAGTTCTGACAAAACAGGGGACAGTGCCTTGTTTGGTGATCTGGACAAGCTTCAAAGTCCCGGACCGAAAGAGCAGCTTTCATTTGAAGACGTCAGTCGCAATGCCGACCTTGCAGCCGTAGTGAAAACGCCCCCAAAATGTGACCCAGCTGGACTTAATGAAGACAAGCTGGACGGCAACAGGAGTTATCGATCACAGTCCCCTCCATCCAGCGAGGGCAGTGGGGCTTCTTCCAGAATTCTGCAACTGGATTCCCGAGAAGGGACGCCTAGCCGGAGAATAACCCGCAGTCATATTATGGAGGATGCTCAGAGCCCAGGCACCCGAAGTCGGACGAGGGAGGGTTTCCTCAAAGCTTCCCAGTTAAAATTCTCCTGATGAAGTGCTTTGTGCCAACAGTTTATCCTACAACCTTAAGACTGGCATCATTGCAGTTCAGCAAATGTGCTAGGTCTCCCATACAGGTTACACATACTTGTCTTGCTACCACTGGCAAGAGCGTAGAGTAAGTAACCTAACAAGAACTTCAAGAAACATTTTGTTCTAACAAAAGCTTGAAGCAGGATTTTGTTCTAGCTAGAGCTCACTTTCAAGAAAAATTATGTTCTGAGAACTCTAAGCAGGATTTTGTTCTAGCTAGTGTTCCATTTAAAGTTTTCATTTCCAAGAGGAACTCAAAGGAAAGTAGTGCTTCAAGAACAGTAGACCTATTCTAACGGGATGCAGGATTTTGTTCTAGCAGCTCTTGTTTCAAGTCATTTGTGTCCTGCGAAGAACTTGAAGCAAATAGTTATTTAAGAACAGTAACTCTGTTTTGTTCTTAGAAGAACAAACACAGTTTCTTTCCATAATTTTTAAAACATTTGTTCTGATTAGAACTTAAGAAAATTCTTTAAGAATTTTAAAAAATCATTCTTCTAGCAAGAACTATGTTCATTTACTTCCTGCAGTTTCTCAAGTGCATAAGTTAGGGACAAGAAAAGGTTATTTACAAGCTACAAATTTTTATTGTGGGGAAGATAAAATACACATTTTGTCCCCCCTCTTCCAGTTTGTTGTTGAAATGATTCTTTCTCTCTTGAATAGCAGCCTGAACGTTTGACACCCAGTGTCTCATAGAGTCACTGTTGATAATCCAACGCGAACACATGCTAAATATCCTGTTTAATTATAAAACACTCATATTGGGAAAGCCTGCAATTAACTTTTTATCCTCTATGGGAGGGGGTAGTTGGCCTTAGTATAGTGGCATTCCCTTCTTATGAATGCAGTAATGAAGTCATGACCTATAGGATGACATACGGAGCCCCAATAATTGAGTCACGCTCAATAGAATGACATACCAAGCCCCAGTAATTAAGTCATGCCTAATAGAATGACATACTAAGCCCCAGTAATTAAGTAATGCCCAATAGAATGACATACCGAGCCCCAGTAATTAAGTCATGCCTAATAGAATGACATACCCAGTAATTAAGTCATGCCCAATAGAATGACATACCAAGCCCCAGTAATTAAGTCATGCCCAATAGAATGAGATACCAAGCCCCAGTAATTAAGTCATGCCTAATAGAATGACATACCAAGCCCCAGTATTTAAGTCATGCCCAGTAGAATGACATACTAAGCCCCAGTAATTAAGTCTAGACTAATAGAATGACATACTAAGCCCCAGTAATTAAGTAATGCCCAATAGAATGACATACTGAGCCCCAGTAATTAAGTCATGCCTAATAGAATGACATACTGAGCCCCAGTAATTAAGTCATGCCCAATAGAATGACATACCAAGCCCCAGTAATTAAGTCATGCCCAATAGAATGACATACCAAGCCCCAGTAATTAAGTCATGCCTAATAGAATGACATACTAAGCCCCAGTAATTAAGTCATGCCCAATAGAATGACATACTGAGCCCCAGTAATTTAGTCATGCCCAATAGAATGACATACTGAGCCCCAGTAATTTAGTCATGCCTAATAGAATGACATACTGAGCCCCAGTAATTAAGTCATGCCTAATAGAATGACATACTAAGCCCCAGTAATTAAGTCATGCCCAATAGAATGACACACTGAGCCCCAGTAATTTAGTCATGCCCAATAGAATGACATACTGAGCCCCAGTAATTTAGTCATGCCTAATAGAAAGACATACTGAGCCCCAGTAATTTAGTCATGCCCAATAGAATGACATACTGAGCCCCAGTAATTTAGTCATGCCTAATAGAAAGACATACTGAGCCCCAGTAATTTAGTCATGCCTAATAGAATGACATACCATGCACCAGTATTTAAGTCATGCCCAATAGAATGACATACCAAGCCCCAGTAATTAAGTCATGCCCAATAGAATGACATACCAAGCCCCAGTAATTAAGTCATGCCCAATAGGATGCCATACTGAACCCCAGTAATTAAGTCATGACCTATAGGATGCCATACCGAACCCCAGTAATTAAGTAATGACCTATAGGATGACATACTGAACCCCAGTAATTAAGTCATGACCTATAGGATGACATACCGAGCCCCAGTAATTAAGTATTGACCTATAGGATGCCATACTGAACCCCAGTAATTAAGTCATGATCTATAGAATGCCATACTGAGACCCAGTAATTAAGTCATGACCTATTAAGTTGCCATATTTTGTCTCACTAATTATCTCATGACCTATAGGTTACCATAAAAGGCAGAGTAAGACATTTTTGGAGGGCGGGGGCCTTACCAGATGTCATCGCTTGCTTGCTTTATGAATGTATTCATACCAGGTGAGATCACTGCAGAAAGGAGAGTAATGTGCATCCCCTTGGTCATTTTATCTCCTTTTCCTCCCTCTATCCCAGACATCTAATGATTTCCTCTCTCACTCTACTCTTCCCTCCCTCTTTCACTTATTCCTCCATCCCATACAGCCAGATGACTCTTGCTCTGCTCGCGCTTTCTCTCCTCCCTTCGTCTTAATCCTGTCGCCCCAAAGAAGCCTTAAAACTGACACTACTGGTTGGGTCAAAATCTCCTTAAATGCAACTTTTCCGACTTATCTGTAATGACCTGTTTATGAAGCGCATAGTTAATTCTATTGACCGAGTTCACACTGACACAAATGTTTAGCAGGTCAGGATAGAAATAGATTATTTGGGGGGGGGGGGAGGGGGGGTCCTTTTGAACCAGATAGGCTTTTTTTTTTAAGCCAGTTAATGTCAAATTTCCCTGTAAGCCTCAGGATAGAGGTTAAAGGTCACATCATGAGTCACCTGATATGTATTGGATTATATAGGCCACATTTAAAGCATTACTCTGTGTTTATTGATAACTCTTTTTGTGTATCTTTATATATATTTGGGGGGCAGGGCGGTGTAGTTAAATACGTGTTCCAAAAATTAATACATGCTCCAAAAATAAATACATGTTCCAAAAATGCATTAGTGAATTGTGAAAGAAAAAGATTTTAAAGAATTTTTTTTTTTTTAAACAAATTTCTGTGGGGTCATTTCCGATTTTTGTTAATGTTACCGACACAACACCTAAAAGCAGTCCCATCATTTTCCTGTCTCTCTCCCCTGCCTTCACTCTATCCTTGCCCCCGCGCTCCCCTCCCTATGCCCTCTCTCTCTCCCTTGCCTTCACTCTATCCTTGCCTCCGCGTTCCCCCCATACCCTTTCTATCTCTTGCCCTCCGTGTTCCCCCTCCCTATGCCCTCTCTCTCCCTTGCCTTCACTCTATCATTGCCCCTGCACTCCCTATCCCTTTCTCTCCCTTGCTTTCACTCTGTCTTTGCCCCTGCTCTCTCCATGCCCTCTATCTCTCCCTTGCCTTTACTTTATTCTTGCCCCCGTGCACCCCATGCCCTCTCTCTCTCCCCCTTGCCTTCACTCTATCCTTGACCCTGCACTACCCCTTCCCCCCTTGCCTTCACTCTATCCTTGTCCCTGCACTACCCCTTCCCCCCTTGCCCTCAATCTATCCTTGTCCCTGCACTACCCCTTCCCCCCTTGCCCTCACTCTATCCTTGTCCCTGCATTACTCCTTCCCCCCTTGCCCTCACTCTATCCTTGTCCCTGCACTTCCCCTTCCCCCCTTGCCCTCACTCTATCCTTGTCCCTGCACCTTCCCTTCCCCCCCCACTCTATCCTTGTCCCTGCACTTCTCCTTCCCCCCCACTCTGTCCTTGTCCCTGCACTTCCCCTTCCCCCCTTGCCCTCACTCTATCCTTGTCCCTGCACTTCCCCTTCCCCCCTTCCCCCTTGCCCTCACTCTATCCTTGTCCCTGCACTTCTTCCCCTCCCCCCCCCCCCCCCTTGCCTTCACTCTATCCTTGTCCCTGCACTTCCCCTTCCCCCCCACTCTATCTTTGTCCCTGCATTACCCATTACCCCCTTATCCCCCCCTTGCCCTCACTCTATCCTTGACCCTGCACTTCCCCTCCCCCCCCCCCCTTGCCCTCACTCTATCCTTGCTCCAGCACTCTCCATGCCCTCACTCTATCCTTGACCCTGCACTTCCCCTTCCCCCCTTGCCCTCACTCTATCCTTGCTCCAGCACTCTCCATGCCCTCACTCTATCCTTGTCCCTGCATAACCCCTTCCCCCCTTGCCCTCACTCTATCCTTGTCCCTGCACTTCCCCTTCCCCCCTTGCCCTCACTCTATCCTTGTCCCTGCACTACCCCTTCCCCCCTTTGCCCTCACTCTATCCTTGTCCCTGCACTACCCCTCCCCCCTTGCCCTCACTCTATCCTTGCCCCTGCATTACCCTTTCCCCCCTTGCCCTCACTCTATCCTTGTCCCTGTACTTTACCCCTTCCCCCCTTGCCCTCACTCTATCCTTGCTCCAGCGCTCTCCATGCCCTCTCTCTCTTAATTTCATTGGTTTGTTCTCTCTCGCTTTTATATATTATCAGTTTGTCTTTAACCCCTTTCTGCCCGAGGTTTATGTTTTTTTTTTTAACTCTTCAGTTCCATAGAATTGCATTAATTTAAGATAATCACTATTAAAGTCGCTAGACACCTTCTGGCTGAAGGCATAATAACAAATGAAACAATACATTTATGGCCGCTTGAGTTAAATCTGTGGACACAGCAAAGAGGAGTGTGTGAAGGAAGGCATTTTTCAATGTTTACAAGATGCAATATTACCTTACTGTCCTATGGTTCTGTCATTGTGTGCCTCTAATAATTTTTGTTGTCTCAGAGAATTGGTTCCTGAGAGAGAAGGAGGGGATGAGGGAGTAGCTGTTTAATACTGGTCTCAGGAAATCTTTCAGAATAAAATTGCATGGTGCCGTCACATGGGGCACACACACACAACAAAAGGATTTTTAAATGTTTCATCACACAAAAATGAAAAAACAGTGCTGTCTGTACTGTTTGCATT